ATAAATGATGACAGAATTTTTATTTTTGGGTGAACTATCACCCAAAAGCCAGTATTAGTTTTCCTACACCGTTCATAGGCTTGCAGCCTCCATGTTACAGCTAATGCTGTGAGATTTTATGTTTGTTATATCTTAAACATAAAATAACCTGATCCTGTTTGCTCAAGGCATGCGACTGTTCTGACTTGTCCAATTTCAGCATCAGTTTTTCATCTTGCATCAAAATTCTGTCTATTCATTGTATGCATTTGAAATATAGAGTTGGGTTTTGTTTTATTGTACCCAAGTGTACCTAAAATAAAAAGTGTTTAATATACAGGTTTGTGGCTCTTAATTTCCTATTAATTAACCATTTGTAATCTTATGTTCACTGTTCATTTTTTATAAGTATAGGATTTGTATTAAATCTATATTCATTCATATAGTCAAATCGAATCGAGAATTGAAATCAAAAATCGAATCGAAATCGAATATCGAATTGAACTGAGAGCTTGAAAATCGAAATCGAATCGAATTGGAACATCTGAATCGATACCCAGCCCTAGTGATAATATTTCCAGCCAGTAGAACCAGGTGTTTATGTGCCATGAATATGATCAGAATTGGATGAAATTCTTGCTTGCTGCCTTTTGAACCTCATATTTGAAAAAAAGAATGACAAAGATAAATCATCTATCAAACCCACATCACTTACTTGGTTACACCATAATCTATCCCAATAGTGGCTAGATACTTGGGCACAAACCGCTTCTCACAGTACCGTTTAATAATGCAGCTCTGAAACAATAAACAGAAATATTATGAAATATTACATGCTTTAGGTAACCTAGTATGCTACTGTACCTATTATGCAGGATAACCTAAAAACAAAATAATACTGAATGAACAGCTCCTAAATGAAACAAACAGATTAACGTTACTAGCATCAAATATTTACAGTATCAGTAAGTATCCATGTACATCAAATACACAACAAAACATGTATAAGGGGATAGCAGTTAGTTCTTAGAAAAAATGAAGTGAACATCAAACTACTGATACGTTCAAACATACGTGTCATTAACACAAGATCATGTTAATAAACAAATGAAGTTTGATGTCTGTATGGTTCATAACAGTCCATTCTTACCTTCCCCACCTCTGCATTTCCCAGACTAATTACCTTAACCCGTAACGACTTCTTGTTTTCTCGCCTCTTCTGAACATTCGTGTCCATATTGCACTTATTCGCAAACCTCGTCCAAAGGAGAAGATGAAATATCTCTAGAATTCACGTATGTTTATGTCTGAGTCGGTCCGTAGACACAGTGAGCAGCTGGCTATGTGGCTAACAGAGAGCCAGTGTGTCACGGAATATTACGGATAACATTTTTCAATAAACCGACAGTACATTTCACGCATGTTTTCCCGCGGACAAAAAACGCAAATATTTTAGGAGGTAGAATTATTTAATTTCGACATGCTAACGGGCTAGCTGCCCTAGCAACGACTATTTGCTTAGCTATACGATTAAAAACAACAGATTCAACAGAAACTTGTAAAAATATATATATATATAAACGCGCGGTTTTAAAACAGCGTTTTACATTATATATTTCATAAAGACGTTAATGGCAATTATGATAAATAAGAATAATCTGTGTAATCAAAAAATTGGGGCAATTTATAGCAAACAGATGAGGGTTTCTATGGCGACAGCAACCCTCATACACAGATTCGACAGAGAGGAGTCGATTGGCGATGTCCGATTCGTGAACGAATCATTAATTTGAAGAGGATGAATCTGTTGAATCGGCTCACAAGCGGTTCTCGACTCACTCACCTACTGAATCAGAAACACTTTCTAGCATGTGCGACTCATATTGTGTCGAGAAACGATGAGCAAGCTGATTACGAGAATTTTCAGTGAACCGAAAATTTGACATATGGAGCGAAAAGTAAGCTAGGTTACTTTTAAAGCTCGTTTGTGTGCTTATGACTTGATATGGTCGTTTGATCATCATGCATACGAAAAAACGTACGAGTTGTTTTAATAAACTGCGTTTTATTAAATCGCCAAGCTTTTAGAGTTTAATATAAGTGCAATCTGGGACACATTAAACACACTTAATAAAACAAGCATTAGCAAGAATATTTGGTTACAAATTGCTTTATTGTAATGTTTTAGACTAGTGAATATGCGAAGAGTAATTAATTACATGGAGAATGTAATGTCAAGAACCATATGATTCAGGATTTTTTTTTTAGGTTCTTAAACGAATTGTTCAGAAGTCACTAGAGTCAATTAGAAGAACATACAAACTACAGTTTTAAAATATCCTATAAAATTGACCATTCATTTAATGTCCTAAAATAAGATCTAAAAGGCAACGAGAGGGATATAAAAAATAGCTGGAATTCTATAAAAAGTTCCTGAGCCAAGTGAGTGACAATGGGATGGAGAGAGAGTACAACAAACCTTAGACAGGAAGGGAGGGAGGTGGTTGTAGGCTCTCATTGACATAGCCTACAGTGGATGTAACTCTAAAACTAATAGTCAGGCACTCCCATGCTTTCCAAAAAGGATTCAGATATAGAATAGATTTGATTATAAGAGTATATATTATTCTCATTAGTTATTCTGGTGAGAATAGTCAAGAAGATGCCACTTCCAAGTTTTCCAAATTTTTCAGGTCTCCCAGATTTTCCAAGTCCAAGACAACTACTCATGGATTGCAGTACACTGTTGGACCATCAAGTCGGAGGTGGTAAGCTCATTTTTAGGCTATATAATTCTGTTTTGTTGTTTGTTTGTTTTTTTCCCCATGGTATTGTTTTCATTTATAGCACTTTAATTTTGATGTTTTGAAATAGCCTGATTAGTCAGTAATTTGATCCATGAATTTTTGATATAGGAATGCTCATACAACATTTAGCAACTGCAAAAAATAGTAAATGGTCTTTGGTAATATGCTGCTATTATTCAACCATCTTTATGTTTTCATTAATAATTCACAGTTGCGTGTCTAAAGCCTAAAAAACGGTCAGATTAACACTGAGCCATTTCACATGCCATGGATCAGACGCTAGAGCTTCTCCCATCAGGCCACACAAGAAAATGCACAGTATCCTGATGTAGATTTAGGTTTCTTTTAAATAAGGATTTATTATTATTATTTTGTTAAAAATAGTACATAATAGTAAAACTAAAACAACATGCATTATAATTTAATCATTTCAAATTGAATTTTCTTTTGTACAAAATATTCCTTTTTCTCTTTAAATCAGATAAAATATTAAAACCTCTAGACAACAATCTATCTTTTATTAGACTCTCTTTATAGCAGTCAAAAAAAAATCATGCATGTTTTATTCATTATAAAAACAAAAAAGGCAACAGAAAATAACAGGCAGCAATCAAATACTGCTAGAGAGGGTTGGCAACGGTAGGCGGGGTTAGTTGACTGACGCATGGGCGCTCTCTCCCCCCTTCAATACCACGACTGAGGCGCCCTTGAGCAAGGCACCGAACCCCCGATTGCTCCCCGGGCGCCGCAGCATAAATGGCTGCCCACTGCACCGGGGGTGTGTTCACGGTGTGTGTGTGTTCACTGCTGTGTGTGTGCACTTAGGATGGGTTAAATGCAGAGCACTAATTCTGAGTATGGGTAACCATACTTGGCCACATGTCACTTCACTTCACTTTAACACCCTCCTCTATGGCAAGCCGTTTTAGCTTAAGCTAAAACGGCTTGCCATACTCCTCATGTCCCTCTCCCTCTGCCTTTCTCATTGTTGAATGGTCAGGAGGTGTGTGAATGTATTCACCTTTGAGGAGGGGCTGTATGCGCGCAGGAGTGAGTGTGTGTGAGCGTGTATATATATTCGTATGCGTGTGTGTGTGTGCACCTGTGTGTTAAACCAGCATTGTTCCTGATAGAGGGAAAGCTGTGCCACGCTGTTTGGAAAATCCAAGGTCATTGGAGCCCGGTCACATGCGCCGTATGAGAGCGTGCATGTGTGATTGAGTGTCTGTGAGAGCGTGTGTGTCTCTCTCTGTCTCCCTCTCTCTCTGGCTATGTGACAGAAAAAGAGGCTTCAGGCAAAGAACAGAGAATTTCATCAGGTTTTCAATGTACGGTAAGGGCGATTGTGTGAGTGCATGATTATGTGTATATTGGATAATTCCCTGCCTGTGTTTAGGAAGGAAAGATTCATGTGCATCACAGGAGATTATGGCAATGACAGCAGAATGATGCTGAAGCAACAGATTGCATGCAGTATTGCAGCTCTGCTCTGTTTATTGTGCATATTTCATTTCATCTTTCATTTCAGGCATCACCGATTTAGCTTCATCCACACTACTTTGCACCGAATACTCAAACACACACTACTAAAACACACATATCTACTGCAACATTCAGTTATTTACTCTATTTATTTATTTAGTCTTTACTCTACACATATTATATTTTCTGCTGTATTCATATTATTTCATCTGACCAGCATGTTGAGGATGTTTCAAACGAACTACAGGCAGTCAGGCTGCGACTTTGATTTCTCACAGCGTGGATGCCTTAGAGCTGGCTTTAGCACTTCAAAACCAGATCGATGACATTTTTTAACAGCCTGAGTATTTTTCAGCCAGATGTCTCCACTCATGCCAGGAAAAACAGCTTTTTGAGAGAATATAGGATTAAGTCAGTTACAGTTTGACTTTATATACTGAATATATAAAGTATATAGGCTACTGTATATATATATATATATATATATATATATATAAAATTTATTTATTTTTTATTAAAATGTATATTATCAGAATGACACTGAGTGAATTTCTGTGATTTGTGCTTCAATGGAAGCAAGAAATTCTAACTTTTGTATAAAGGAGTTCACATGGTCAGTGTTACAAATATACTTATATGGATTTGTGGCCTAGAATCCTATATTCTGCCAATCACAATTTTAGGGTCAGTAAGATTTTTATTTTTGATTTTTTTGTAAGAAATTAATACTTTCATTCAACAAGGATGTATTAAATTGCTCAAAAGTGTACAATGTTTATAATGTTACAACATATTTTTATTTCAAATAAAAGCTGTTATTTTGAACTTTCTATGCATTAAAGAATCCTGAAAAATATGTATCACGGTTTCCACAACAATATTAAGTTGCCCAACTGTTTTTAACATTGATAGTAATGAGAAATGTTTCCTAAGCAGCAAAACAGCATATTCGAATGATTTCTGATGATGTTGAAAATACAGCTTTGCCATCACAGGAATAAACTTAAAATATGGCATTCTAATCTTTAAAATACAGTATATTAAATATATTAAATATATTTAAAATGATAATAATATTTCACAGTGTTATCTTGTTTTACTGTATTTGTGACCAAATAAATGCAGCCTTAGTAAGCATAAGAGATATCTTTTAAAAACATAAAAAAATCTTACTGACCCCTAAACTTTAGATCATTAGTATATCTTAATTTTATGCATTAATGTTTTTTTAAAAAATAATTTCTTAATCCTACATTTTTCTGTTGTTCCAGATTTAAATGAGATTTTTAATATATTTATCATATATTTTCAGACATTTGGACCTCACTGCGTGTTATTTAGATTTACATTTTGGCTTCAACTGCAAACTATATTTTGGCGGATAATATGTAATGTTTTAATAGCAATACTGAAACACTTTAACTATACCCTAAAACTTTTTCAAAAAGGCACAACATTATTCTCAAACAGAGTCCTGAGTATGCAAAAGATAGTTTTAGATTAACTAGATGCTCATGGAAGTAGAGCTGACAGTGACAAGGTTAAAGAAGTAAATGAATAGATTTCATTGTTTGACTTAGCATGAAGTTCCCTCTCTGTATTTCTGCTTTTTCCCTGTGACACTAAGGTATGAGAGTGAGTGCCTTTGATATTGTGTCCCGTTTTGGTCAATCTGAAGGGATATGGCATCTTTGATGGGTGATGTGCTAAATATAGCTGTCATAAGCCCTCATAATTCAAGGGAAATGTATTTAGAGTGACTGCGCCATGACGAGAGAGACAGTGCCAGAAGTCTGCATTCGGAAAGATTGATTTTTCCATACTGTAGCCACCACAACATGGAGTTTGATTCATTCACATGCATAGTGAGTTGTGTGTTATGTAAAGCCCTATTAAAGCTGGATGTCTTCTAGTATCCCTATACCAGCTTGGAGGATATCATATCAGCCATAGTAGTACATCCCAGCACCACTAGTTCTTTATTATGACATAATCTTCTTTGTCACAGTGCCAGCTATAGCCTTTGTTTTGCAGCGTATGCAGATTGCAGATGTGCGTGTAGAGTTGTTCTTGGCAACAAAGTATGCACTTACTTCCCTAGTGTTGATGCTACACTCCTGATTTAAATTATTTAGTTGTTTTTGCTTTCTGAGTGTAACATTTTACATTTATTTATTAACGTTGTCATTAGATGTACAGCATTCTGATATAGCAAGTTAAAATAATAAAGCTAAAAGCAGATATTTTGGCCCCTGGGCTCAGTCAGTGTCAGAAGATTGTGCCAGGTGAATGATTGAGGTGAGTACACAGCCATAAGAGAATTATGAGGGTTGTAAACCAGAGGGAACTGTGAAGGTTATATTTACCACCCTGTCCGAGAAACAGAATGCATTAATGTTTTAATGCACTGATATTTTACCAATTTTTATTCAATTTCTATGATTATTAAATAAAATAGAATGAATAAATAAAAACAAAACCATTTGTATTAGTAGTATTTTTTTATTATTACAAATAAATTCATCAAATAATTTTTTTTTAAATGCTGCTGTTTTTTTTTTCATGTATTTTATATACAGTGGGTACGGAAAGTATTCAGACCCCCTTAAATTTTTCACTCTTTGTTATATTGCAGCCATTTGCTAAAATCATTTAAGTTAATTTTTTTTCCTCATTAATGTACACACAGCACCCCATATTGACAGAAAAACACAGAATTGTTGACATTTTTGCAGATTTATTAAAAAAGAAAAACTGAAATATCACATGTGTACATTAATGAGGAAAAAAAATTAACTTAAATGATTTTAGCAAATGGCTGCAATATAACAAAGAGTGAAAAATTGAAGGGGGTCTGAATACTTTCCGTACCCACTGTATGTCTGTTTATTTGCAAGAGATGGCTATCAGTCAAAACTTATTAAATCTATTGTTTTGGAAGTATTTTCCAAACCGACAACTCAACAGTAAAATTACATGTCAATTAAAATGCACAGCAGTACGTGGTTGTTTGTTTGTTTGTGTCATTTTTTAAGTGTTTAATTACACATTGCAGTCATTAATGGCCCTCTTTTTTTTTAACTGCAGAATCACTCTGGGAGTGAGAAACGGGGAGAGCGTGAGAGGATTCGCTGCAGTCTTGAGTGTGTGGGTGGAAATTTTCAGTGTCGACTGTCAGGGTTTTTTTCTTTCGCTTCTGCTTCAGTTGCTTTAGGCGTAGAGGCGTCACGCTGGTGTGTCAAAACACTAGCAGGTAGGCCGATGTGTGACTCACACTCTAGCTCCTCTACCATCCATCCAATCACAGTGTAATTGCCAATCACAATCTTGGTAAACGGCAGCTTGACGGTAGCTAATCGGACAGCAGGCTTGAGTCAATAAACCTACGCTGACCTTGTGTTGCATTTAAAATACAAAGTTGAGTGAGTTTTGTAGACTGATGCTCTTACTGATAGGTAGTTTAATATCTGTCTGCTCTATCATAACCTTCTATACACACTATTTTGCTCGTATTGGTCATATTGTGTGTGATCTGATCCTTGATATTTGTTGACTAGAATGAAAAGCCTGTGTCAGTTTTGTGTGGGTGGTTGAATGCTGCAGTCTGATCACTCCACCTGCTCTGGTTTGTTTACTTTCCTCCATGATGAAGCTCTTTCACTATGGTAATGTTGTAAACAGCCTTGTCCTTCCCAGGGGTCCTGCCAAGGTGCTGCCTCTGACTCATCCACCCAGAAGGGGGTTTGTGGGTGTCTGACAAACCATGTTTGTGGAGTTTTAATTGGATAGTTGATACGCAACATGGATATGAACTGTTTATACTCAGCAGCAGTATTCTAGTTTAAGAGTTATATGAATGTATAAGGAGAAGTGTGTATTTTAGATGCAGTGACTGGTCAAGTTTTTCACAGTTTTCACCTTTTTAATCACCACAGGTTGCTTAAATATTCCTGCAGTGTGACATATTCATTTTTAAAATAACATATATTCCATGTAGTCTCTTTCAGTTAATATGAACTCATTAAAAGTATAATTATACAAAAAAAAAAAAATTTTTTTTAAAGATGTTTAAAATGGATGGATGGAGTATAGTATTGCCACACTGCTACAGTTTACAATAAGGTTATGAACATTAACCTCAGTGTTGCTATTGTTAACTAAAACGAAATCGATTCAAATCATTTTCGGTCATTGAAATTAAGCTGAAATAAAATTTAAATATTAGATGAAAAATGTTGCCTTGGCAATTAAATGAAATAAGTTTAAGTTGCAGTGCTAAAATGAATAAAACTAAAACTTAAAAATAATTTAAAGCTAAAAAGAAATAGAAATAAAAATAGATAAAAAATGACAAAAACATAACAAAATTACTAAAAATTTCAACTAAGATTTAAATGTAAACTGAAAATGTAAAAATAAAAGCTAATTCAAGATAATAAATACTACATTAAATACCAAAATAAACAAATATCTAAATATTAAACTAAATACCAAAATAATAAATGCTTAAATAGTATATAAATAATACCAATAATACAAATAAATGCTGAAAAACTGATGTTCATCGATAGTTCATATTACCTAATTCAAAGTGACTAATGTTAACATATTCAAACTTATTTTAAAATAAAATATTGTTATTCTCCTGAAATCATTTGCAACAAATTGAGGACAATAGATGAATTATCCTTTTTACCACTTTTCCCTGTGATTTACAATGTGTCCCTTTATATGTCTGTATAGGCTTTTTATGGGCTTTCAATTGCCGGTGTAAAACCAAAACAATTCTAAATGCTTTCAACAGATTCTTTTCAAATCCATTTAACCGGCACACCAAGCTGCAGACGTTTCCTAAATACAGATTAATGCCTTTCCCCTGAATCGACTGGCCTCACTTACTAGATTACAGCACACAGGTTTAATTTATTTAATGTGGCGATGCAATAAATAAACCTCACATTGAGTATAATTACAAAGACTCTTGATCAATACTGCCCTACACACCGGAGATGAGGTAAACAAAGGGGTCTGGAGAGATAACCTTCCAAACCTCCTTTTCCTTCACGTATATTATTTCTGTCCTTGTGTGCTCAGTTATTGTGTTAGGGTCTTCTTTTGTATTACTGCCGGTCTAATTAAACTTTCTCCCATTGTTTCAGGTGTTTGTGGATGCTGTGGGGCCCTGAGACCCCGTTATAAGAGGCTGGTGGATAACATCTTTCCTGAAGACCCTGAGGTAAGGTCAGATGAAATAAAAGCCGCTGAGCCAGAGAAAAGGATGCTTCACTAGGTTTCTAGTGGTTATCAGTCATCAGTGATCAATGCAGTGATGTAAACATAGGCTTTCAATGGTGACATTCATTAGTTTTAGAACCACTGTGGCGTAGCAGATCTGCTGCATGCTCACCTGATTGCATTCAGCTGTTTTTACAGATTAGATGTCTGTTTCAGGGATTTTCATACTTGGGTTTGGAAAATATGAGAGAAAATACAAATAATTTATAAATTGTATTTTAAAACTTGATTAAGAAATAAAAAAGTGTTTTTTTTTTTTTTTTTATAATTTCTTGCAACATACATACATTTTTATCTTTAGCTTGCTCAGTACTCTGAAAATTAAGTTTTTAATGTAGGATTTATTTTGAAACAATTTTCACTCAGAATTTGCTAGTAAATAAAATTATTTTATTTTTTTTACAAAGAATCGACAAGTAACACATTGAATTAATCATGCCATTTTTAAAAATGTACTCCAATAATCTTTATTTACTTTAATGACTTGAACTTACTTAATTTAACTTTGAAAAAATATATGTATGTATGTCACTATTTTAACTGTTTTCTTTTTATAGTTTTGGAATGATGTTTATTAGAAAAGTGATATACGCACTGAAAATGTTTGTGTAATATTTTGGTCAGAAAAAAAAAATACTAATTAAAATTGGTGTTATACATGAATATAATACTATAATGATAAATTAAAAGAGTAAAATAAAAAATGCACTGATAATTTAGTGCAAAGTATGAATTAAATATTTTTCCAGTTTACAAATACAAGCCTATTATTTCATTTTAGAAAGAACCCCTCGTCTCGTATTTCACCATGTAAGGTTAAAGCTCGAAATGGAAAGTATTTGAATCTGTCTCTCTTCTGAATAATGAGATAAGCTTAAGAAACTGTATTAGGATCTGCATTAGACTCTGACTAGAAGATAAATCATCTATGGAAGATTCTTTTTGGGTAGAGGAAAGTTTAAAATGACATTTTATGGTTCATTTTTCTTTTTATGTCCTTCTCTAATAGGCCTCTTTTCAATGTTCTCTTGCTCTCTGACTGTCTGCCGTCTTGTCTTTTTGTGTAAAGGACGGTTTGGTGAAAGCTAACATGGAGAAGCTTACGTTTTATGCCTTGTCTGCTCCGGAGAAACTAGACCGTATCGGTGCCTACCTGTCAGAGAGACTATCCAGAGACGTTGCCCGGTATAGATATGGGTAAAAACAAAAATTGGAAGAAAGTGCAGTGATTGTTTCTGTCTGGCTCTGTGATTTATACCTGCTATAATAATCTGTGATCATCACTGGGCAGTATCATGTTTGTGCCTCACAGGTATGTTTGTATTGCTATGGAGGCTTTGGACCAGCTACTGATGGCCTGTCACTGTCAGACTATAAACCTTTTTGTGGAGAGTTTCCTTACTATGGTGCGCAAGCTGCTGGAGGCAGACAAACCCAATTTACAGATCCTGGGCACTAACTCAGTGAGTGAAATTTACTGCCTTTACTCTCTAGTGAAATTCACTTACAGACCCTATTGATGCAGTTACAGATTTAGAATGCCATGTGAAAATGATGACTTGATAAATCTAGCTTGAGTCGGGCGTCTCTGCAGTACGGAGGGAAATGTGGCTGCTGCATCAACACCACGGGTTCAGGTGTCAGTCTTGCAGTGATCTTGGAGGAACAGACCAGAATTAAGAAGTTTCAAATGCTCAGTGCACTTGATTAAACAGAGTGCAAAGCTGTAACATTTTGGCTTCACCTCAATCAAGCTCATCCAAACTATATTCAGTATAAATCCCTCCTTGCCAATCGAATCCCCATAGTGCTACGCCTCCTAAATATACTGGTGCTTTCAATCTAGTTAAATTCAGTTACAGATTAAGAATTAATACAGTAAAAATAGTAATATTGTGAAATATTATTACAATTTAAAAGAACTATTTTTTTTTTTTATTTCAGTAAATTTTAAAATGTAATTTATTCCTGTGATGACAAAGCTGAATTTTTAGTCTTCTCTAGTCTTAAAATAAAAAAATATCATCGGCAAGGGTGCATTAAATTGCATAAAGGTGATGTTACAAAAGATTTCTATTTAAAATAAAATATAGTAAATTAGATGATAAATTAGACCAAAATAAACTTAAATCTAATCTAACCATTGGGGCAATCATTAAATTAGAAAGCTATTTAAAACTGTGATTAGAAATTAATTTATATAAAATTTATATGAAATTTCCCTAATGTAGATAATGCTACAGTTACACAGGCAGCATATTTAATACTAGAATTACATTATTTTGTCTGTTTTTTCTTTACATTTATTGTATGTTTGAACTTATTATATGTACTTTATTTTATTAGTTCTGTATTTAAATATTGCACTTATTCCATTACTTCATGTCAGACCTTCCCATTTACCTGAAATATACAGGCCCTCTTCATTCAGTATAATCCCATTCCAGCTAATGTTATTTCATTTTACATGACAAGCTTTCAAAACAAAGATGAATTTATCCTCGGAACAGTAATGTGAAACTTCAACGTGGTCCCTGAAAGCTTAGCACCAGCCCAACTCAATTGCTTATTGGAATATATAGAGTTCTCAAGTTCAAAACCGCTCACATCTGATGCTTCTGAAATATAAAGGCTTAAAGATTAAAAAGAGATTACTTTCACAGATAGAGGCCAGATGGGGCAGGGCTTAAAGCGTGTTGCCCATAAATGTTGAAAGCTGTGTGCATGTTTACAGAATTGATGGGTTATGCAGTGTCTTCATCTGAGTTTAACAGCGTGAAGAAGGTACTCTGTAGGTTTTGTGTTGGTGTGGTACTCGGTGTGGTCAGTAGTAGCACACTGGATAACCACTACTAATCTCAAATCTTCAGATATCCTAATCAGGAAGATCCTAATCTGTTGTACTGTAATGTACATTAACCACATAAATACAGATTAGCATACCTTACAGCAGTGGTCCTCAACTGCTTTTGCTTCAGGACTATACTGGACATCAAGCATTGACTCAACACAGTATCAAAATTGACAAAAAATGTCTTGAAACATTGAACTGCATAGGCCCATCAATATGCACATTTGCGTAATCAATCTTCTGCGATATTGGTTGTTTGGCTTCTAAATGCCCCTTGAATTTTGATAGTTTCATGTTCTTGTCAGCCAGTAATTAACCACACAAAACATGTTATGGCAAAAACCATGTGAGACAAAAAAAAATATTATGTACATACATGTTGGTGCATTGTAATTACATTTAAAGTACATGCATTTAATTAACATTTGTAGTTTAAAGTGAAGTGACTTAAAAAGTGACGTGACATGTGGCCAAGTATGGTGACCCATACTTGGAATTAGTGCTCTGCATTTAACCCATCCAAAGTGCACACACACAGCAGTGAACACACACACACCGTGAACACACACCCGGAGCAGTGGGCAGCCATTTATGCTGCGGCGCCCGGGGAGCAGTTGGGGGTTCGGTGCCTTGCTCAAGGGCACCTCAGTCGTGGTACTGAAGGTGGAAGAGAGCGCTGTACATTCACTCCCCCCACCTACAATCCCTGCCGGTACGAGACTCGAACCCGCAACCTTTGGGTTACGAGTCCGACTCTCTAACCATTAGGCCACAACTTCTACATTTTATTATTTTTATAAATATTGCACTTATTCCATTACTTCATGTCAGACCTTCCCATTTACCTGAAATATACAGGCCCTCTTCATTCAGTATAATCCCATTCCAGCTAATGTTATTTCATTTTACATGACAAGCTTTCAAAACAAAGATGAATTTATCCTCTGTACAGTAATGTTACTGACATTACACCTAACTGTAACCCAACTCTTAGCTAACCATACCTCAAACTCATTCACTGTCAGAAAAAATTAGCAAAATTTGTACCTTCAGGGGTACAATGGCTTGTCACTGGGGCAGTACCCTCAAGGGTACACCCGTTGTACCCTTTCACATGGGTACATATCTGTACCCTTGCAGTATGTACCTTTCAAAGGCAAATATGTACCTCTGCTGACTAAATTGTACCTTATAGTGCTATGGTACCATAATGTACCTTTAAAAAAAGGTGCAAATTCGTCCTTTTAAGGGTACTGCCCCAGTGACAAGCCTTTTGTACCCTTTGATGGCAAATTTGTACTCCATACAGCACATTAAAAAGGCCAGAATGCTGTTTATCACATTTATTAAACATCCAAAACCATTACATTCTCACATTTTTCACAGGATGAATGTTATAAGCTCTATCACAATGTCATAACAGCATGCATATATTGCAGAAATTTTACTTTTGAAAAAAAGAAAGAAAAAAAAAAGGTTTTTATACTCAAAATTGTAAACAGCAAGAATCAAAAAGCAATTTTTTTCCAACAGTACGCATTTCATTAATTATAACTTTTACTTTTTAAAACTATTTGTATTTGGAAAATTGTAAACAGCAAGATTAAGCTTAATATTATATTAAACATTTCTTCAAAATCAGTACATCCCATTTCATTAACTTTTTTTTTTTAATGTAATAAAACATTAAGAATAAAGTAATTTCACTTTTTTTTTTAAACAGCACTAGATCTCATTTTAAGTAAATTTTTCTGAGAGTGTATGATTAGAAGCAATATTATTTAAATTAGCAGCTCAAAGACTAGAAACTTATTTCACGAGTTTTTACCAGTTTTGATAAATAATGGTAAACAAATTTCACTTGACTTGCTGTCCTTGGAAGGGCTCAAAGCCGACGCACGCCTCGATGTCCGAGCTAAATCGCCTCAGTTGATTGCTGCTTAAGTAGTTCGCTCGTGATGACTGACAGGACTAACTTATTAGGACACTCCTGGACTTACATTTAGAACGTTTTTTAAAATATGTACCAAATAAAACTGATATAAATCACACCGCGCGAGCGTCACTAACGGGAGCAGAAAGTGTCCGGCTTGACGGCTCCGTTTTCAACTCCGCCCCCGACTGCAAGCGGCTGCTCTCGTTGACTGCCGTCTGTGGCGGTGCTTGAAGTCGAGCAAACGTGAGAGGTCACGGGCCTACGGCAGGGTGTGGCCAAGTAAAAAAAAAATCTCCAAAAAATAGCTAGTTTTATTTAAATATAGCTAAAATAGCTCCTTGTCGCAAAAAAAAAAAAAAAGTCGCAGCTACAATGAGAAAGTAGCTAAATCTGGAGACAAAATCGCCAAATTGGCAACACTGGGTCCAAACATGGACCCTCTGACAGTTGGAAACATATTTGTACCTTTTTTACCCCTAAATGGTACATATGAGTACCCTAAGGTGTAACTATGACCCATTAAGGGTACAACTTCACCATTTGTACCCTAAGTGTTCACAAACGGACCCCAACCGTACCCTTTTTTCTGACAGTGTTAGCAGTAAAAATATGTGACCAGTCTTTCTATATTTTTCTGCTCTTTCTCTTTAAGTTTGTGAAGTTTGCGAACATAGAGGAGGACACACCATCATACCATCGTAGCTACGATTTCTTTGTCTCACGCTTCAGTGAGATGTGCCATTCCAGTTACGAGGATCCAGATATTCGCACAAAGTGAGCACCTCTTTCCATTTTTTTCAAATGATTTTGACACCCAAAATTATGAATGTTGAAAATCTAGTTTTTTTGGATTATACACTTTTAACATAAACTAGTAAGTATAATCAGTCACACTTTATTTTAACGTCCGGTTCTCATTATTAACTAACAATTAACTACGACTTTTGCCTCAATAAACTCCTATTTACTGCTTATTAATAGTTAGTAAGGTGGTTGTTAGGTTTAGGTATTGTGTAGGATTAAGGATTTATGGTCACACAGAATATGTGCGTTATAAGTACTAATAAACAGCCAATATGCTGGTAATATGCATGCTAATAAGCAACTAGTTAATAGTGATAATTTGTCCCTATACTAAAGTGTTAATCTTATGCATGCATCTTATCTAAATGGATGGAAATTATATATGCAATTCTAAAACAAAAAATGTAATTTATATTTTTAAGTGTGCTTTATGACTCCTCTTGAAATGTCATTGTGTTTTTAAGACAACATATGTGCAACATTTCTGTCAAAAGTGATAAAGCACCAAGAACTTGTAGAATATATTTTTTTACAAGAGTATTCTCCCTTGTGAATTATAATTTCTTAGACTTGAAATTAAATGTATTATAATAATACAAATATGAAATTATATTATGAATAATAAGAATGTTAAATTAATATGCAATTAATTAAACAGTATTATTCATAATTCTATGATTTACTGTGAACATTAAGGCTTTGTATAAATAGAGCAATAAGGATATTCAAAAAGGAAATGCATGAGTATGTGCACGCCCCTGCACAAGTGTGTGTGTGTGTGTGTGTGTGTGTGTGAGAGATTTTGCCACATACTGATACAATTTAATATTTTCTGCTAAGGGATTGAGTAGAACAGGATTAGAAATGAAATCTGCTTTTGATATAAAAGGAAACATTTTTTCCTTTGTGATTTGCATCAGGGGGTGAATTGCACCATGCAGTACACATTAATAAAAATAGCCATATATATAAATCCACATCTCATAAATGTGACTGAAGTCTGTTTGGGTGGTGTGTATGTGTGTGTGTAAGGATTCGTATGGCAGGGATCAGGGGTCTTCAGGGGGTGGTGAGGAAAACTGTCAATGATGAACTGCAGGCAAATATTTGGGACCCTCAACACATGGACAAAATCGTGCCGTCTCTCTTGTTCAACCTCCAACAGGAAGAAGGCGTAGAGAGGCATGAAACACACTTACACGCTCGCACACACAATCACACATGAAGAGAAATGGACACTTTTAGTCTAATGAAAGTGTGAATTTTCTTTCTGAGAAACAGCATCTTGCTAATAGCTATTAGCCAGTCTGTGTGATTAAGCTAATGAACTCCTAATCGAATGCTAATGAAAACTGTGATATAACAGTAGACTGTTAGAAGCTAGAAGCTAGAAGTAGAAGCTGCTTTACTGCTGTAAACCTAATAAACCCAAAGCTCGAGGGTCAGAAGCAGGCCACGAAATCTGAATTGAACTATGCGATGAAATCAGAACCATAAAACTCTTCACATCTTCACCTCTGTGGAAATAGCTGACCACAAGTAACAATACTGCCAACAACAATCGGCCTATTGATTCAACCCTGGTTTATGTTTGTCTTCTGTTTTTGATTCCTATTGATAGGTCTCCTTCCCCAGAGGCAGAGAAGGAGAGTCCAGTGGAGCTGACAGAGAGATGCTTTCGAGAGCTGCTAGGACGAGCGGCCTATGGCAACATCAAGAATGCTGTGAAACCCGTGCTCATGTGAGTGTGTATGCACTACCCTGATTAAACACAAGAGGGCAGCACACAGAGACACATTTATTTTCTTTTCAGTTCATTTTATACAAATAGTTTAGCATTCATTTGAGACAAGTATATTTTGGAAATTAATTAACGATTGTTGTTTTTTAATGTCATTGTTTATTTCATTATTTATTTTAATGAATAAAGGGCATATGTTTGACATTAAATGACAATATGAATTTGGGATTGTGGTTATTTTAATGATCATGCAGGCGTTACTGGACTACTAATTATAATTCATGCAAAACAATGCACATACACTACCATTCAAAAGTTTGAAGTCAGTAGGATTTTTTTTTTAAAGAAATGAAAACGATTTTAAATTACTGTTTTTATCTTACCAACTCCAAATGTTTGTGCAGGGTGTAAATGGAAGGAATAAGGACATGCTGCTTGGATGAATTATTAATAATTGATTAAATGTTTGATTAATATTTTTTTTTGTCAGCAGAGGTTTCCATTTATCCATATAAATTAATGAATATGATCCTACAATGTCAGTTAGACAGTTTTTTATTCACACAAATGATGCCCCCAGTAAAAAAGTAATATAATATAAATATAATATATTTAAAATACTAAAAAAGTATAGTTCAAATCTATTAACATATTTGCTGACATATCGCTCGAGACTTACTGATCTTGTATGATCTTTGAATAATATCGGTCTTTAAATGCAAGATATTTAAGGGGTACTTAAAGTATACTTGCAATAGTTCCACTTTAGCACAATCAAATATACTTCAGTATATCTTTAGCTGGACCTCAGCACTACTTCCGCACAAAAAGTTCATTAAGTACAAAATAACTTGTTCCAATTAAGCAGACTTTAAGTATACCAGTTTAGTGTACTAAAAGTACAATTGCAGAGTATTTTTTATTAAGTACATACATATGTAAATATATTTGTAGTATACTTAGCATGAAATAAATGTATTTCAAATACATTTTAGTATATTTAGTTTTCATAAGGGGCAGTATAGAAATATAGCACTGGAAAGGGAATGAAGAAAAAAAAATGAAACAAGCTGTCCTCATTGTTAGCCTTAAACAATCTACACAGTAAAAGTAACTAGTATCTGTTACGCTAGTGTATTTTTTGACCCACTTTGTCTGCTCATTACTGCTCTAGTTCTGTTTGCTGAAGCTAATCATTAATACACTTGTATATTTCCAGGCACCTCGATAACCATTCACTTTGGGAGAGCAAAACATTTGCAGTCCGTTGTTTCAAAATCATCATGTACTCCATTCAGGTAGATACAAACAACTGTTCTGAAATTTGTTTGTAAAAGTATCCGACACAAAATACAATGCAAGGCACACTTTTGAGGTCCTATTGCTACTAAATAATTATGTGTTTGGGGACATATTTAAATATCTTTAAAATATCTTAGCTTTGAAAGTCTCAGAACAGTAGTGAAACTATTTCTATATTTGCATTATTCAAATTTGATACATATTTTCTACAAATTATCTTATCAGCTTAATTGGAGTTAAAAAATCTCATCAATGATTTAACATTTCTTATTGACTTTACATTATAAAATTTTTTACATAAAAAAAATTGAATGAAAAAATAATTTGATTTTCGTTCATCTGTGTTACTGTAATATTAACTCGTCTGTTCCTTCTCAGTCCCAACATTCACATCTGGTGATTCAGCAGCTATTGGGCCACTTGGATGCCAACAGTAAGAATTCATCCCGAGTGCGTGCTGGGATAGTGGAGGTGATCTCAGAGGCAGCTGTCATAGAGGCCAGTGGATCCATAGGTACCAGAACGTCTGTAGACCACTAGAGGGAGCACTAAAACCATCTCATTAGACAAGCGCTTTAAATGATTTCTGTCTGATAATACTTGTCCATTTTTGTTATTTTATTATCTTTTTCTTTCAGAAGAAAAGTGATATACACACTGCTTATTTCATATGTATCAGTGTTTATATATTTGACAAATAATTTGATTTTATACAGTAGAAGTCATCTGCATAGACAGTGTTCCTTAATTTAGTTTTGGCTCTGTGCCATACCTCTCCACAGGGCCCACAGTACTGGAAGTGTTTAATACTCTACTGAAGCAGCTCAGACTCAGTGTGGACTACGAGCTTACAGGATCCTACGACTCTTTTGCAAACATGGGCTCCAAGGTCATTAAAGTACATGAGGAGAGACAACTCCAAGAAGCCGTCATCAAAACTGTCGGTGGGTGAACATTGAATGTTTGAGAGTAAATCAAATATTTTTGTAAAATGTGACCCTGGACCACAAAACCAGTTATAAGGGTCAATTATTCGATCATAGGAAAGCTGAATAAATAAGTTTTCCATGGATGTATAGTTTGTTAGGATAGGACAATATTTGGCCCGAGATACAACTATTTGAAAATCTGGAATCTGAGGGTGCAAAAAAATCTAAATATTGAGAAAATCGCCTTTAAAGTTGTCCAAATGAAGTTCTTAGCAATGCATATTACTAATCAAAAATTAAGTTTTAATATATTTACAGTAGGACATTTACAAAATATCGTCATGGATCTTTACTTAATATCCTAATGATTTTTGGCATAAAAGAAAAATCAATCATGTTGACCCATACAATGTATTTTTGGCTATTGTTACAAATATACCCCAGCGACTTAAGACTGGTTTTGTGGTCCAGGGTCACAAATGACCGTGGCTAAACTGTATAATTGGCTTGTCTCAGGCAACTGATTTCCTACATAGCTGTGCTCAGTTTCATATCAGCCCACATTTTCATTCTTCAAATTATAACAGTTTTATCTCAGTATTTAAAGGGGTCATATGATGTTGCTAAAAAGAACATTATTCCACATACATTTTCCACATACTGTACATTATTGTTTCTCCTCTATGCCCTTTAGTCTTTGCTACTTTACAGATCTACTTTATGCACCAAGAGCTTGTAACACTTCAAAGAGAAAGGAAAAATTTAAATCGCATCATATGACCCCTTTAAGTCTTTTAAATAGATAGATAGATAGATTTATCAGCTGTGCATGATCCCTCTGTCTTTCTTTGTTTTCAGGCTCATTTGCAAACACACTGCCCCCCTACCAGCGCTCAGAAGTCATGTTGTTCATCATCGGTAAAATTCCTGTGCCAGGCATGTATCCGGCTCTGGGCTCGGCCAACACTGGGTGAGACAGGGTTACAACCTAGACTTTATCAATTAGACATGTTTACGATGTATTTTCTGCTGGCCCAAGAAGAAATGCAAATTAGCTGAGGAATAGCATAAACGCTAACGTAGCAAGCGTTTAATAAGATAAACGCTAGCGTAGCCAGAATATTGTATTTTGTCAATAAGTGTCTGTTTCTGGTTTCAGGGTTGAGGGCAGTAGGATGATCCAGGTTATGCTGCTAAAGTCTCTGCTGCAGGTGAGCTGGTTTGTGTCAGTCATAATCTCACGCTGTGCCATGCGGAGGCCATTTACTCCCCCTGCTGTTTCATGATATCCACAGTTACTGATGCAGTCTAAACCCTCTGATGGTCTTGTGTGCCTTTAAATGTCAGTCTCTCTGTTTCTCCTTTAGGTAACAGCAGGATTCCAGTCTACAAACATTTTGACAGCACTTCCCACCTCATTCCTGGACCCTCTCTTGTCCTTCACTCTGATGGAAGATGCAGAGATCCGTCTACTCGTTCTTGACATCCTCATCAGCATCATTGATCGCCATGACAACCGGAACAAATTCTCCCCTGTCAGGTCAGGCGCACTGACAAACTCAAGAAAAATCTAGCAATCTAGAATTTACTTCATAATAAATGATTAATGCTATGAAATATAGAATGAACATTTTGTTGTTTTAGTGCCTCTCAAAATTATTCGAAGTTTTCTTTTGCATATCTTTAAGATAAAGCCTAAGGATATGTAACCGTGCATGAGCAATTAAATAACTAAATACTTAGTGACTTATTTTCACCCTTACAAAATTTTTATAAAAAAAAAAAAAAAAAGAGATTTACAAAACACAATATACTTTTTTTGTGTTATACTGTTTTGGTGGGTTAATTGAGTCATAATATATATATTATATAATATATATAGTATAGTAAATTTCACAATTACAAAGAAATGCAAAGTAACGTCATTTTGAAACCTGAAATAGTATTAATAATCTTTAAAAAAAAACAAATTTTACAGTGTACCTGACAAAACATTTTACATTTACCTCTGTATTGTAATGCATGAAATACTGATTAAAATGTGGCCAAATGACCCTTAAAAATGGTCTGTGTTAATATATGTGACCCTGGAACCACAAAACCAGTCTTAAGTGTCAATTGTTCAATATTGAGATTTATACATCATCAGAAAGCTGAATAAATAAGCTTTCCATTGATGTATGGTTTGTTAGTATAGGACAATATTGGCCGAGATACAACTATTTGAAAATCTGAAATCTGAGGGTGCAAAAAAAATCTAAATATTGAGAAAATTGCCTTTAAAGTTGTGCAAATGAAGTTCTTAACAATGCATATTACTAATCAAAAATGAAGTTTTGATATATTTACGGTAGGAAATTCAAAAAATATCTTCATGGAACATGATCTTTAC